CTTCAGTTGTGACGGTCTGGTCATGAATCTAACTGAGAATGAATTGGAGTATGAATGAGCCTCAGTAGTACGAGCGCGTCTCTGCGCATGAGCCTGGGTCCTCCTGGGGCCTCCTGGGGCCTCCTGAAACCTACTGGGGCGTCCTGGAGCCTCCAGGAGCCTCTTGGGGCCTCCTGGGGCCTCCTGGGACCTCCTAGGGAGGATTCGTGCCCCAGGAGAGGCCCAATCTATAGCAACAGACGTACATAAACATTGCGGATTGGAGCCACAGGAGAAGGGGGCAATCTATAGGAACACACGCAAAACACCAAGGACTCGTGCTCCAGGAGAGGCCCTATAGGAACAGAAGTACACGGGAGAAGGACAATATATAGAAACATATGTATAACATCAAGGATTCGTGCTCCAGGTGAGGCCCAATCTATAGGAGCATACGTAAAACACATGGGATTGGAGCCACTCTTGTTGCCTTCTGAGGCCTCCTGCTCCTGGGGCCTCTCGGGGCCTCCTGTTGCCTTCCGAAGCCACCTGGCGCTTCCTCTGGCCCCCCGGGGCCTCCTGTGGCTTCCTGGTGCCTCCTGGAGTTTCCTGGGGCCTCCTAGAGCCTCTTGGGACATCATGTGGCCTCTTGAGTCTTTCTGTGGCCTCCTGATGCCTCCTGGGACCTCATGTGGTCTCCTGGGGCCTCCTGGAGCCTGTTGGAGCCCCCTGTGGCATCCTGAGGAGAGTCTGTGCCCACGAGCCCGGCCACCGATCGAGACATCCTCAAAATCTGGTCCAAATGGGTGGTGAAAATGAACGCCTCGCTCGAGACATCCTCCAGATCTGCTCCGAAAGCGAAGGATGTTGGGACAGCAAACAGGCGAACCGCTTGAGACATCCCACCAAAACGGCCGCGAACGGGACCGTGAAAACACCCCTGGCGGCTCCCCTTTGGGGGGCTGAAGCCAGCACCCCGCCTGAGACATCCTCCCCACAAAACGGCCGCGAACGGGGCGTGCGTGAGTCTCACCATGAGTAAGTCTGAGTAGGAGTAGGTCTGAGTATGAGCGCCTCGTTCGAGACATCCTCCAAATCTGCTCCGAAAGCGAAGGATGTTGGGACAGAAAGCAGGCAAACCGCTTGAGACATCCCCACAAAACGGCCGCGAACGGGCGGCTCCCCTCAGGAACGTGAAAATGAACCTCGCGCGAGAAATGTCCAAATCTGCTCCGAAAGCGAAGGATGCTGGGACAGAAAACAAGCAAACCGCTTGAGACATCCCCGCAAAACGGCTGCGAACGGGACCGTGAGAACACCCCTGGCGGCTCCCCGTAGGGGGGTGAAAATGAGCGCCTCGCTCGAGACATCCTCCAAATCTGCTCCGAAAGCGAAGGATGTTGGGAAAGAAACAGGCGAACCGCTTGAGACATTCCCACAAAACGGCCGCGAACGGGACCGTGAGATAACCCCTTCTGCGGCTATCCTGAGGGACGTGAAACTGAGCGCCTCGCTCGAAATCCTCCATATCTGCTCCGAAAGCGAAGGATACTGGGACAGAAAACAGGCAAACCGCTTGAGACATCCCCCCAAAAAGGGGCCGCGAACGGGACCGTGAGATAATCTTTGGCGGCTCACCTCAGGGGGAGTTCAAACCGGCGCCCCGCCTGAGACATCCTCACAACCTGCTCTGAAAGCGAAGGATGTTGGGACAGAAAACAAGCAAACCGCTTGAGGCATCCCCACAAAACGGCCGCGAACGGGGCGTGCCTGAGTCAGACCATGAGTAAATATGAGCAGGAGTAGGTCTGAATATGAGTAGGTCTGAGTAAGAGTAATGTTGTGTGAGAGTAAGTCTGGGTATGAGTAAGTCTGAATGTGAGTCTGCCTGTGTATGAATAAGTCTGGGTATGGGAAGGAGAGGGGAAGAGAAGGAGGAGAAGTCGGCGGCGCCCAAGAAAGAACAAGAACCCCATCTTTAGAATATGGGGAACAACAACAACGTCAACAACAACGCCAACAACAAAAACGCCAACCATTCCTCCTCGTTTTCCTCCTCCTCATCATCATCACCACCACCATCAACATTACTACCATCACCATAACCAACATCACTCGCATCATCACCACCATTACCATAATAACCATCCGAATCAGAATCACCATCAGCATCACCATCATCATCGTCATCATCAACATACCCTTTCTCAGCATCACCATCATGATATCCATCAGCATAACCACCGTCATCATCATAATCATCAACATCACCACAGCATCATCATCCTCATCATTAACCCCACCATCATCCTCATCCCCATCAGCATCTCAACCGCATCCTCACCATCATCATCATCACCATCATCATCACCACCATCAGTATCAGTATCATCATCATCATCATCATCATCATCATCATCATCATCATCATCATCATCATCATCATCGTCATCGCCATCGTCATCGTCATCGTCATCCAGTTTGTCGACCTCCCCACCCCTCGTCCCCCCCGGAGGGCGTCCTTCGACCAGCTCCGCGTCCGCCGCCTCCACCTTGGCCGCGTCCGGCCACTCGAACGCCAGGCCCAAGTGCCCGCACTCCTGGGGGGGGGGGCCGGCGCGGAGGCGCGCCGCCCTGGCGACGAGAGCTATTTTCTCTCCCCTTGGCCCCCCTACGGGCAAACAAGGGCGACGATCGGGCTGCTGCCCGCCTGTTTTCCTGGGAAGGGGTCCCAGTGGCACAGGTGCCAAGGGGCGGAGAGGGAGCAGGAGGAGGAGGTGGAGGAGGAACAGAGCGGCGGCGGCGGCGAAGCGGTGCCGGGCCGAAGGCAGAACTGAATCTAACGAGGACACATTGCCAGCTTGCACTTGACAATGTGCAACCTAGCGTGCGTGCCTCTTTCGAAGACGGTTTGAAGACGGCTCCCCTTGGGACGGGAGGAGCAGGAGGAGGAGGAGGAGGAATGAGGAGCGCGAGGAGGCGGGAAGAGGGCGGAGAGTGGAGGGGGGAAGGGGGCGGGTGGGAGGTGAGAGGGAGGGGAGGGAGGAGGGAGGTGCGCGAACTGAGGAACGAGGAAGGAAGACTAAAAAAGAGGATGTAGATGTGAAAGGCTGTTTTCCGCAAAGGGAACATGGCCATGGCCATCGAGGCGAAGCGAAACATGGCGGCCGCGGTATTGGAGCAGGGGCGACCCTGTTCCGCTATCAACTAGACATGAGGATGTAGATGTGAAAGGTTGTTTTTTCGTAGAAGGGAAACTGTAGAGCGATGTATAGCGTGCAAGGCGGGAAGATATCCCCCCAGCCCCAGAACACAAAGGGCGACGGAAAGGGTAGACCACTACAGCTGGCAAGAGTGAGAAGGGACACATGAGCTACCGTTCGAGTGGAGGAGGGAAGGGGGAGGAGAGAGGAGGGAGGAGAAGAAGAGAAGGTGGAGAAGAAGAGAAGGACCAAGACATGCGACGTCCTGATTTGTTTTAAACGGGGTCCCTGGAAGTCCCGACCCTTTCCCCGGGACCGGCTTTTCGTCCTGAGTCGTTTTCTGACGCTCCCGAGGCGCGGCAAGGGCCCCCGGAGGCCGAAAACGGCCCAAAACCTCCCGTCCAGATTTTTGAAGGACGCGATCATGTCTGGGGAGGAAAGGGCGGAGGGAAGGGCCTCAGCCAGGGCAGGGCCTCCTGGCTCGCGCCGACCAGCCAGCCCCGCGCGCCAGCCAGCGCCCCAGAGAGGCCTGCGGAGGGCGCCCTGGCGCAGAGCCACAGGACAGCCCACCCTGCGCGGGTGAGACCTGAGCCGAGCCTCATGCTGTTCCCGTCGTACCTGGAGGAGGAGAAGGAGGAGGAGGAGAAGAGGAGGACATCCCAGAAATCATTTCGAGCACCCAGAAAGCATCGAAACGGTGTCGACCGAGCACCGCCTCCCAGCGCCCGACACGCGAAAACCCTCAGACTTCGGCACTGTCCTGGTGCTCGAGATTCTTTCTGGTGGTCAAGGATACGGGCGCGGCCGCAAGAAACCCTCGCATGAAACCCAACCCTGAGAACCCGCGCGCGAAGTGCACCGGAGGGGAAACCCTGAGCACCCTGAACGCAGCAGCTCCTTCAACGGCCGCGGGAAGTCGCCGACAGCGCGAGGAGCAAAGAAACCGAGGATACCCTGACGAAAAGCATCTGGTTTCTTGATGCGCGCCCCCTCTGCAGGTTGGAACACCATATGCCGAGCCCACGACTGGGACAGCAGCGGACCGGGATCAATCGAGGATCTCTGATTGTGGATGCCACGACAATGCCCAAACGGTCCTATCATTGAACTTAAGATGTGTTTAAAGTGTCGGAAAATGTTCTAAACATGTTTTAAATCATGTCATTTCACATATTTACAACACGTTTAACACATGTGTTTTGAATGATGAAAAGACGGCCCTACCCTGGGTTACAAGTGCGTGGTCTGTAAACCTCCTGGGAACCCCCAAAGCCTAGAGGACGCCAGGACGCCACACATCACGCAGGGCTTACTCTGTCAGCCCACAGGAGTTCCAGCGCACAGCGCCTCGTGAACCAGGGTAGGGGCGTTTTTGAAGCCCTTGAGTTCTAGACATCTGGAAAGCATTTGGCAACGTGCTTCCTCTCCGTTGGTCGTCCTCCACAGATCTCTGAGCTCCGGCAGTCTTGGAGGATGCGCCCGCCGGCGCCGCCGCCACCCGAGCGCCCGGGGACGCCCTCGGAGCGCCGCGGGACCCTCTGGAGCGACTGCCGTCGGGGCGCGGACCCAAGGAGCCCTACGTAAGGAACGAGGCCCCTCCTTTCTCACAGGTTAAACTTCGATGTCCCATCGAAAACCTTGGGAAAGCCCGAGGCAAACTTTGAGAAAGCTAGGGAACACGGAGCCCCTCCCAAACGACAAGGGTTCCTTCTTCAGCGCCCCGACTGCAGTGAACGATTGTTTGCTTTCGGCGTTTCGACATTGGGCGAAGGGGGGAGGGGGTCGGGGTCTGGCTCTGGACCTCTGCTTCGTGCGACTGTTTCGGGCCGTGCGCCCTGTGGGGGAGACTCCACCTACTTGAAACAGGCGCCAGAAACAGTCAAGATCTACTCCACGGGGGGGTGGAGGGAGGGGTGCGAGGGCCCGCGCCGATCGGCAAAAGAATGATTAAAAAACGCTCACCCGAAGAAAGCGGTGCTTGGCCCGCCCGAAGACCGCCGGTCGCGTGCTTCTGGCGCGCGCACGCACGGCCAGTTCGCGTCGCGACGGCTTGCGCGATGGCTTCCTGCCGCCGCGTGGATCGTTCAACCTCGAACGGTCGCGGCCTCCCCATAGCCCCAAACGATTAAAAACTGGCCCGTCCAGGGTCACTCGAGCCTTCCGCTCAATGCCCGTATCCCTCTCGCCACGTTCCTCCCCTCGCTCCCTCCACCCGATCCCTCTCGTCCACCAACCCCTTCCAACAATCATGCTCTCTTTTGCGATGCCTCTCCTCACCCGCTCGCCCCTTCGCCATGTCGCTGCCCCTCTCCCCGTCACCGCGTCCCTCGCGCCTCCCCCCTCCCGATCGCCCTCGTCGGCTTCGCGATGCCTCTCCTCGCCAAGCAACTGGCCCCCTCTCGCGGTTCCCCGGCGCCGCCCGCGTGTGGCCGAGGAATACCGCGGAGGCTGCGCCCAGGGCTCCTGGACGGGGATTTGGTTGAGCCTGATCAGCGGAGACAGCATGGCGGCCTGCAGAGAGCGGAGGGAGGGCAGAGTTACAAGGGGGCCAGGACTGGGCAAACATCGGACCGGGACACGTCGGATTTGTGCGGAGGATGCATCGGGCGCCGCCCCCATTCCAGAGCGCTCCAGGGCGCTCCGAGAGTGTTCTGGCACGCGCTGGGAGGGGAGGCGGGGGCGGAGGTCGAGGAGGGGGTGCAGCGCTGAAGGCTGAGCCTGAAGGCTGAGGAGGAGGAGGAGGAGGAGGAGCAGCAGTAAGAGGAGGAGGAGGAGGAGGAGGAGGAGGACCAATAGGAGGATGGGGAGAAGAGCGGCGGCAGAGGCGGGGGCAGTGGCAGGGGCAGAAGCAGGGGCAGTGAAAGGCAGGGGCGGAGGCAGAGGCAATGGGAGCGGCGGGGTTGCGGCGGAAGGTCGAGGCGAGGCCCTCAAACTGCTGCTGATGCTGCTGCTGATGCTGCTGCTGATGCTGCTGCTGCTGCTGATGTTCCTGCTGCTGCTGCTGCTGCTGCTGCTGCTGCCATTCATCTTCTGCTGCTACTGCTGTTCCTCTGCTGCTGCTGCTGCTGCTGCTGCTGCTCCTGCTGCTCCTGAAGTTCCTGCTCCTGCTGCTCCTGCTGCTCCTGCTGCTCCTGCTGCTCCTGCTGCTCCTGCTGCTCCTGCTGCTCCTGCTGCTCCTGCTGCCTCTGTTGCTCCTGCTGCTCCTGATGCTCCTGCTGCTCCTGCTGCTCCTGCTGCTGCTGCTCCTCCTCCTCCTCCTCCTCCTCCTCCTCCTCCTCCTCCTCTTCTTCTGCTTATTCTTCTTAGTAGTATTATTCTTATTATTATTCTTATTATTCTTCTTCTTATTATTATTATTATTCTTATTATTATGCTTCTTCTGTTTCTTATTATTATTCTTCATATTCGTATTATGCTTCTTCTTATTATTATTATTATTCGTATTCTTATTATTCTTATTATTATTATTCTTATTCGTATTATTATTCTTATTATTATTATTATTATTCGTCGTATTATTTTTCTTCTGTTTCTTCTTCTTATTATTATTATTATGATTATTCTTAGTATTCGTATTATTCTTATTCTTCTTATTATTATTATTCTTATTATTCTTCTTATTCTTCTTATTATTAATATTCTGCTTCGTATTATTATTCTTCTTCTTATTATCAGTATTCTTCTTCTTATTCTTATTATTATTCTTCGTATTAGTCTTATTAGTATTCTTATTATTCGTATTATTAGTATTATTCTTCTGATTCTTATTCTTATTATTATTATTATTCGTAGTATTCTTATTATTATTATTCTTATCATTATTATTCTTATTATGTTTCTTCTTCTTATTCTTATTATTATTATTCGTCGTCGTATTATTATTCTTCTTATTCTTAGTATTCTTATTCTTCGTCGTCTTCTTATTATTCTTATTATTCTTCGTATTATTATTCTTCTTTTTCTTATGATTATTCTTCTTCTTATTATTATTATTACGATTCTTATTATTATTTTTCTTATTCGTCTTCTCCTTATTCTTATTCTTATTATTATTATTCTTATTATTCTTCTTACTCTTATTATTCTTCTTCTTCTGCTTCTTCTTTTTCTTCTTCTTCTTATTATTCTTATTCTTCTTCTTCTTCTTCCTCCTCCTCCTCCTCCTCCTCC